GGGAGAATCGTGAGTCGATATTTTTCAAGAAAAAAAAAATTGGGGGGAAAAATTGTGCGAGCTCTGTGTCTTGTATAACGCATATACACGAGATACGAGTTGTCTCGAGAGATCTCGAGGAAAGAGCCGATGAGAGAAAGCACTGAACAGCGTTTTTTCCTTCAAACACAACAATCTGTCACAAAAATTGAGATAATTAATTAAACGACACGGAGGATATCGATGTGGCCGGCACCATGTGTACAGTTGTTGCTATAAATATAGAAAAATTAGTGTTTTACACTCATACTTACTTATCCATCGAACGGGAACAAGGATTCTTTTTTCCTTCAAAAAAAAAAAAAAAAAAAGTAGACTGCAAGACAGACGAAAAAAAAACAAAAAGAGAACGAAAAATTAAAAAATAAAGAAGAAGAAGAAGAAGCAGCATATTCAAGAAGATAAGAAAGAGAGGAAGAGAACGAGAACAAAGAGTACGTAGCTCCACCGTCGTGTGTATCATTGGCCGTTCAATACCTATTGCATTTACAGAATTATACATTAGTGTAATAAGATTTATTAAGGTCCATTCGTAATAAGGATAATGTGTTGTATAGTTCGTGTCCCCGACGATATCGAGAAAATCGTGAGTGAAAATGTGCTCGTGTGCGCAAGAAAATGATCGAGAGAGAGTGAGAGAGAGAGAGAGAGAGAGAGAGAAGCGAGTGAGAAGAAGAGAGGAAGTGAAGGCGACCGTTGCCAATAGCAGTCGAAGGAAAACTTATCGCTCCTCCGCCTGTCCGGTTAATCGCGAAAATTAATCCTTCGAACGTCGAGGAGAAACGACGCACGTTCCCTTGCCGTTTAATCTTTAAGTGCTCTTAAGGAGGGGGGGGGGGAGGGGGGAAGGGGGTCGATAATCAACACTCCTGCTCGGTACACTGAATCGGAGAAAGAAATTGTTTATTTTCACAGAGAAACATCTCGCTAAAAAATTGTTGATCCGCGACTCGTTGTTGGACTTCGTCCTCAACGTTGATGGGATCTGTCCATCTATCTAAACCTCGGCTACTTAAAGATTAAATTCTCGTAAAAATTCTCTCGTTCGCCCGGCTTTCTAATTCCGGGTTTTTTTTTTTTTTTTGCGGGGGAGGAAAAGTTCGAAAGTTCGGGAGGAGGGGGAAGGAAATTCGAGAAACGCGTCGTTACTCTGTCGACCGATCCGAACTATTTTTATATAGTAAAAACGCTTGTGGATAATAATATAATAATCTCGTGTAAGAATGATATCGATTAAGGGGAAGGAAACCGATGGCTCGGTTGAAACGATGACTTTTCTTTCGACCAGAGGTCCTCTCGATTAAGACAGACGCCCGCCCGCACAACTGGAATGTCGAGACGACGAAATAACCGTTTCGCCGCTTCCACTTTTCTTTTCTCCCCTCCCTGCCCACGAAGGTCAAAGGCTTCCCTCCCCAATCCCCTCTTATTTCCCTTAATTTCCCTTCTTATTATTTTCTTTTCTTTTCTTTTCTTTTCTTTTCTTTTTTTTTTTCGAAACATACATTTATTGAAAATAATCATAATTATTTTTTCTTCTTCTTCTTTTGTTACTTCGCTCTTCTTCGCTCGTCGTCACTTCTGGTTAACTTAACAATCGTTGCTCCTGATCATCGCGATCATCCAGGTAATAATAACGGATTTCTATACTTTGTACTTTTCTTGTGTCGTTCAGCCTCGTGTATTCCTTCTCCCGGAGGGAAGGGGGCGGATCCTTCGCTCTTTCGAGGGAGGATCGATGGATCGAAAATTCTCAACAAGTTTCCCCGAATCAGTATTGGTCCCGAATTCCAAGGCTTCGTTCGAAGAAGAAAAAAAGAAAGAAACGAGAACAGGACGCTGAGGGATACCCTTCCCAGAGGAGAAGGAAGCTTCTCGATTTCTCGCAAATTTTCGCCTTATACAAAAGTAATAAAAGCTTGCTCGTTGCGTTACACAGTTTCGTTATGTTAATATCGCGTTCGTTACGATGCGCCGCATCATCGACGAGAAAGGAAAAAAAAAAAAAAAAATCGACGAGTGCGAAATCGTCGATGCGCGCGCAATCTTCGTTAAGATCGAATCGGTTATTTATATATATATATATAAAATTAAGCGTCGTTGAAACGAAAGAAAGAAATGAGAATTTTTCTTTGATTCTTTTTTTTTTTTTTCTTCTTTTTTCTTTGCTTGTTTCCTTCCTTTTCTTTTCTTTTTGATTTGGAGCAGCGTGAAAACTTTTTCGCGAAAAGTTAAGTTCGAGGAGTCAGGCGTCTATACATATACATACATTTCTATACATACGAATAAACGAAGAAATCCACAATAGAGAAAGATCCACAATGAATTATTATTATTATTATTATTATTATTATTATTAATATTATTATTATTATTATTATTGTTATTATTATTATTATTATTATTATTATTATTATTAAAAGCGAGCGAGTATTGAACCGCGATCGTTTATTCGCACGTATATCAATTGGATATAATTATATTTATGTGTATATTTATATTTATATATATATATATATGTATATATATATATATGAGACTGGTTCGAGCGTGTTGAATATATTTCTGAACAAGTTAGGCCATCGTCAGGGTGCCCGCGCCCATGCCGAAGCCCACCCCCTTTGGTCCGAAATTCCGGTTGTAACATCCGCGACAATAAATGTCTCCGTCTGGGCCGTCGTTCAGATTCGTCGAGTCTAACGAGCGGTGGCACTCGGCGCAGCTGAAGCAACGCTTGTGCCACACGCGATTCTTCGAGATCATCTGCTCGGCAGCGTACACAGGATAGCCGCAACGCGCGCACCCGTGCCCGTCGCTCCGCTTCTGCCCGACCTGAGGCTTTGCATCGATGCTGAAACGATTCGAGCACGTGTAAGTGGTGGAGAATAGAAGAGAGCAAGTTGAATTATCGTCGTCGTCGTTCGTAGTCTGATTCTCTTTTTCTCAATCCATTTTCCAGCAACCGAAAATCTTATTTTTCACGAGAATAATAATCTTGTTGTAAACGGAAGAGATGAGAAAATTTTTAATTTTGCGCGAGAAAAAAGATACTCTTTACTTAACGAGATAAAGATAAAGAATTGTAATCTTGAATTTAAATTTCGATTTAATTTAATTTGATCAAATATCTGGAGAGAAAAATTTCTCGACGCGTAAGAGAATCGTAAGAATTCTAAAATACGAAAGAATGTGGAATATGCGCGCGAAGCAATAACGCATAAGTGATAAAAACTTACTACGAGGGAGCGTGATCCCCGTCGGTTGAAACGAGAGTCGGGGTGTGGCCAAACCCGAATCCTTTGGGTCCGAAAAGCTTGCTGTAGCACGATCGGCAGTGTATCTCCTTGTCGGGTCCGTCGCAGGCCAGCATAGAGTCGAGAGGTCGATGGCACTCGGCGCAGTTGAAGCATTTCTTGTGCCACATAGTCCCCTTGGCAAGCTGTTGTTCGGCGGCAAATACCATGCCACCGCAACGAGGGCAACCTTGACCGGCTGGCGCCTTGATTGCCGTCGTATCGGGATTGTAAAACGGCCGACTAGCCGAAATTTCTTCCTCCCTGAAACGGAAAATAACCTTCTCTTTCTAACGAACTTGCAAAAGTCGATTTCAAAAATAATTGCGCAAAGATCTGTCGAATTGCTAATTCGATTCTCGAGGAATTAGTTAAATGAGCTTATTATACATTAATTTATTTATCGATCGATGAATCATAATTATAGAAGAAACAATTGAAAAAGTATACTGGGTCGTTCGGAAAGTAATTCCGTTTTTTCACACGAGTGTCGCTAGTCGAAAGTAAGTAGTAGTTTTTTCCAGCCAACTTCATTCTAAACCGTGTTCTTGTTACATTCATTTCGAGAGTTGGCGTTTCACGGTTTATTTGTAAGGAAAATTCTCTTTCTCTTTCTAACGAACTTACAAAAGTCGGTTCGAAACATTTTCAATGAAACGTTAGCTTCTTCGAATAATTGCGGAAAAATTTGCCGAATTGCCAGTTCGATTCTCGAGGAATTAATCAAATGAGCTTATTATACATTAATTTATTTATCGATCGATGAATCATAATTATAGTAGAAACAATTGAAAAAATATACTGGATTGTTGGGAAGTAATTCCGTTTTTTCACACGAGTGTCGCTAGTCGAACGTTTATCCAGCCAACTTCATTCCAAACCTTGTGTTTCTTGTTATTATACTTCGAGAGTTGGCGTTTCACGGTTTATTTATAAGAAAAATTCGTTCGATTGTGTGCGATTGTGTGCGCGATAACAAAGACGCGAGACCGGAAGAAGACCATTTTCGGCATATTTTACTTTTTTGTTACCGAAAAGATAAGAATGCTGTTCAAGCGAAGTTTATCGAAAGAAAGTGTATCGATTCGACGTTAAAGACACGCCACGTTCTGGAAGACCAGTTGACGAAGACAAAAATAAAAGCAACGTTCGAAGCAATAAACAAAAATCGCCACGAGATTGAATTTCTCGAATTCGATTGTTCGTGATCGTGTTTCATTGTCGTGAAAAAAACGAAATTACTTTCTACGACGAGCCCGAAAGAGGCTTCTTTTTTTCTCTCGAAAAAATATATATCTTCGAAGAATTAGTTTTTTCTGGAAGAACATCGCAGCTTGCACGAGGAGGTGAGAAAAGGATTACTCACGTTAGGCCGTCAGTTTGTAAGAATCCCGAGCCACACGCGAATCCGTATCCGTGCGGTCCCCATTTCTTTCCGTAGCAGGTTTTACAGTAGACGTCTTTGTCGGGCCCGTCGCATGCGATGATCGAGTCGAGCGTTTTGCTGCAGTCGTGACACTTGTAGCACTTTCTGTGCCATTCGCGGCCCTTCGCGAGCACCTGCTCGGCGGCGAACACGACGCCGCCGCAACGTGGACAACCTTTGCCGGGCGGGGCTTTGATTATGGCGGTGTCGATCACGGTTGTACGAGGAGCGGCCTCGCTAAGAATTCAGAAATATTCAGAATTCGTATGATACGAAATTTTCGACGAGGAAGAAATTTACTTTACTCGACACCATCGAGTCGCGCGAACGAATAAATTTAAAGTGTTTTTTTTTTAAATTTTTGCTCGAGGGACGAAAAAAATACAAGAATGAATTATTTTTTTTTTTTTCCATCAAGAGAGATATGGATTCGATGGAATTCAAATTTATTCCCGATTCGAGCGACTCGAGCGGTTCGAAGTTTCTCGGGGATAAGAAAAACAACTCCATGCAAAATGGAACCGGTCGATATTGATCAGCGATTAAAATTCAGAGGTGTAAAGCGTCTATCGAGAGGATTGAATTTGATCAATATCGTCGTCGTCCACGAGATTTACTTGAAGGAGATTTTATTTATTTTTTTTTCTTTTCTTCTAGCAAAATCAACTACTGCATCACGCGAAAAGGTGCATGCGTTTAGCGCACGTTTCAACTAAATTAGAGGTGGGCGAGAGAAGAATTGGTTATCATGGCTGTTCAAAAATTAGTGTCAGTTACAACCAGAAACGGTTTAGCCAAATTCGAAAAATAAGATACTGATACGAAGGTGAGTAATAGCGCAAAGCGTTAAAGCGTCGATTTATACGCCACTTTCGTTTCATTCTCGCGAAGGCCGAGAAATTTCTTCAACTTTGAGCGGTAAACGGATCCTAACAATCTCCCCTTTGGAACAATATTTCGAATAAAAAAAAAAAAAAAAAAAAGAAAAAAAAAAGAAAAAAAAATGATCATTCCATCCGACTTTAAATTTCAAATTTGATAATATAATTCCATCGAATTATAAAATTTTAAAAATTTTCTCGAACATGTAAAATTTCCCCGATAATATTAATTAATTTTGCAACTTGTATGTATCCTTGACTGGAGAAGTGACTCGAGAATTAATTGGAAGGAAGGCGGGCTGCCTGAGAAAATCGTTTGGACGTGACGGATGAACATACGCACGCGCGCGCGCGCGCGCGCGCACACGCACACACACACATAGAGAGAGAGAATAAAGCGGCGAATAATGGAATGGCACAACTAAGGGGACGCGTACCCCTCGTCCTCAATATCGCACTGCAGCCCGATCCACATAACCCCAGCGTGGCCAATACCTCGCGGACCGAATTTCTTCGGATAGCAAGCTGTTAAGCAGACAAGCGCATCGTATATATAGTGAGTGCGTAGAAGCCGATGAGGCGGGATAACTGTTCGCGTGTTCCCGTCTCAGTCTCGGCTCTGAAAACCCACCCATTAGCGTAGCAGTCGCTTTGTAGGGCGCCACCACCCTGGCCGTACCCATAACCCTTCGGTCCGAATTTCTTTCCGTAGCATACTGCGGAGAACATCGGTTAAAGGTATCTGCTCGTTCTTCTACCTAGCCGCCTGATACACGACGTATCCTGGACACGTTCTCTTCTCTTTTCCCTCTTTGCCACGATTCTCGCGATTTTTTCGAAGAAACGATCGATCTTTTTTTTTTTTTTTTGTATTTTTCGTTTTTCTAATACAGGAGAGAGAATTGTCGTCGAGAACGTGTCCAGTATCTCCTGGCAGGATGTAACGTCCTCACCTTTGCAATAGATGTCCTTATCAGGACCCTCGCAGCAGTTGACCGAGTCTAATCTCTTGGAGCAGTTGGCACATTTAAAGCATTCCTTGTGCCATTGCTACGTGGGACACAAAGGGAGACAAAATGGTGTTAGTCACTGAAGTAAGGAATTCTTCGCGTTTCGTTTCTATCACGTTCTATTACGCACAGTTATTCCCAGTCATTTTTTTCTTTTTTTTTTTGGAGAGGGGGGGGGGAGAGGCAGAATCTTTCTTCTCTCCTTTCCATAAGTTGGAAGATCGAAAAACGGATTTGGTTTACTTTTCGAGTGAACTATTCACGCGAGATAGTGATGGAACTTGGCATTTGTCAGTCGAAGACGATAAAGGCAATAAGACAACAGGGGGAGCAAAGATCAGGCTTCTTAAGACGGTGTCTCTCTTGTTGGTTCTTCTCTCTAGTGAAAATCTCTAGTGAAAAATCTCTAGCGAAACTAGTGTGGACTACTTATGCGACAATTTATTACGGAACACTTTGCGCCAGTTTTGCGTTTTCACGCCACGGATCTCTGAACTAAGCTAAATGGGAAGGGGACACTGAGAAAAAGGACCATGGACAAAGAACGGGTGACAAAAATTAATTCGAATAAACACGTGGTGGATAATAATTGGAGGGGAGAGAGAGAGAGAGAGAGAGAGAAGAAGAGAAAAAATAAAAAAAAAGAAGAAGAGAGAGAGA